TTCCTGACCTGAGTTACAAACATTTTCTGGGCTTAGTAAAATCTTGTCGGGCTGTCAGCCACGTCAGTTGGCTTCACGAAGAGACCGTTTCGCGAGCCATCTCGTCCCCGTCATCAGGGTCCTGATGCTAGCGTTTAAATGTTCAAAATCATGGATCGAATTGTACTGAATCGAATAGATTAGATAGGTTAAACCAGTTCAGATATTTGCATCTCCAGTAATAAAGGCGGTTAAAAGCTGATAATGAGCCGAATGTTTGAGCTGGCGTCGTCAGTTTGGTTTAGTCAGGCTGGGGTGGCTAGCCTGCGTTGATTTTGACGTAGACTGAATCAGGTTGGCTTGGGTTCGAGTCTGTTCTCGTCGATTTTAGTTTGTGGAAGCATGGTACTCGTGTATCGTCTTGTTTTGCGTGTGGATAATACGGAACTGAACCAAGTGCTCCGCCATTGAAGAACCGGCTTGTACGCGTTGTATTTTTGAAAGCGAATCTGCGGATAATAACAGTCCGTCGTTTCAGAACAAAACGATTCCAGCGCTCCGGTCACACGTTGCCAGTGGCCTAATTACAAGCGGCGGTGTGAAAATAAGCATGTCTGGTTGTACCGAAGTGTGAAGCTAATTTGTTTGGACGGACGCTGCAAGCCAGCACGGAACAACCACTTCGCTCACAGCGCTCCGCCCCGGACGTCACCGTCTGACAAGCGTAATTAACGGAGAAACAGCTGTTTGACCCCCACTTAGCATGGCTGGGATCTCAGCGATCTATGTTCAATTCCTCTTGGAACTTCTTCCTCCCCCTTTTGTGGGTATCTTCTCCTCGCACCTCCGGCATTCTCGTTCTGTCATTTATTACACGCCCTGCTTGAAACACTTCACTGCTTCCAGATCTTATGCCACAAATTCTCCGTCACTGTCCTTTCACCAAACTTCGCCTTCTGTTTGTTGTTGTTGTTGTTCTTGGTCCTGTTCTTATTTCGCATTGAAAATGGAGAATCGTAACGGAGTGTGGGCCTACGAAACTCAAAATCCAACTCCCGAGCCCCAGACTGATTGAGACAGCAATTACAATGATTTTAGAAATGTCATTTTTCTGTACGGATCTATCGCCAGATGATTGTCGCTTTCAAATCATGGCTTCACCCCTCTTCGGTTGTTCGGCTGTGGGGAGGGGGACGCCTACTCTGTTGGATCGGGCAAATTTACCTACGCTCACAGAGTAGTTGGTTCTGTGATCTCTCGAAACGTCATGAAGTGATAAGATTAATCAACTAACGATGGACGAAATACGATACAAGGAAATTATTGAACATCCAGTGAAGAAGATTTACTTTCGGCTGTTTAAACAGTCTAGTTACGAAGCCAGGCTGAACCGGTGTAATCCACTTCACATCTTCAAAAAAAAAAAAAAAATCTAATTCCATTTTATATTCTTTACTTGTTTTGTGATGGTATGATTTGTGGATTGGAAAGGATGTGAAAGGAGACAGTCATAGCTTCTCCACTTCACATCTTCAAAACGCTGGCCTTGTAATCCTGGGGTCTCGGGTTCGATTCCCGGTGGTGCCCAGATTTATAACTTGTGTCGGGCAAGGCCGTGGTCTAGGCAACACGGAGTTTTCCTCCGGGGGCTTCCCCGGTTTCTCCGTGGCATCCCAACAATTACTCCATTCACACACAGAAGAAGGCAATGGCAAACCACTTCTGGATCATCTGCCAAGAACGTATATGAACAGGTCCCAGTCCGAGAAAAGGATGGAAGGATCCTGTTCATATGGACCTGTCCTCAGACAGAACAATAAATAAAAATTACTATGCAGGCGTTTGCCTGGATAACTGGGGAACACCAAGAAAATCCAGAGTTAGAATAGCCCGTCTGTGTAGCACCATTGAAATCTTGGACATGTTTGGTGGACGACGCACATTCGTCCTGTTCACTCCTCCATTTATCAGCTGCTTTCCTCCAAAGAGGTTATTACCTCTTATTGGGAACTTGCTGGCCACCAAAAATAGTTTTAGTCGTTGAGTGTAGCCAACGAATTATTATGTCTTGGCCTGTCGCAAATAAGTCGTCTGTTCGTGTGGGAATGTGTAAGGATAATCCCACCGGACCTTCGTCAGCCCCAGTGGACGCCTCGTAGTCAGTGTCACAGTCTCGCGTCGTCTGTCGTCGAATCGCTCTCATTTACTGCTCAGGTGTCAACAAATCAGCCAGCCGTGGCGATTACGAAGCAAAACATATTTTTGTGTCTTAACGCCAAGAAGCTTTTGTGTTTGAGCAGTTTTTTATTTTTATCTGTTGGTTTTATCTTCTGTTTTGCGAGGTCCATCCTCTGTCGCTGACTCCTCCGTGTTATGGGTGGCGCCTTTCCTGGATTCGTTGAACCCTGCGGGACCGACGCCGTTTTGTACGTCTGTGGATCAGCATCAAACGAAGCGCTAAACGTCGATATCAATCAACTACACTCGTTGAAGCCGAATGTCGAGTTGTCAGTTCATCCCGTGCGATCAACCACAAAGTTTGGTCTTTCATGTTCTCATGTTGTTGCTGGAGCTAAAGCTGATGGTCTTTGTTCAACTTTGCCGTCAGGGAGTCCAAGTGTTCTGTGAACCAGCTGACTGTGAGGAAACTCCCGTCATCTTCCGAGAATGAAACATAACCTGACCTTCACTCCTTATCGCGCAGTGTCCGGGACTTGATAGACGCGAGGCACACTTCGTCTCGGGGACATTTTGGAAAATTCTAATTGGTGCCATCGTGTCCGTCCGCATTAAACGGAGTCCGGACTTCTTGGCCGATTTCGATGAAAGTCGTTGCGGCAGACTACATTTTGATGTTGGTCTTTCAAGTGTTTAATTATTCGTGTTTTTCCCCCCGTCTAATCACAAATATATATAAATAAAATTATACATAAGATATTAAAATATCATTTACATATTTGGTACAACTTTTTACTACATGTTTCGGTTACATTGAACCATCTTCAGGTGTAAAGTTAAAAGTTAAAAATTATAATCTTATAAACTAAAACTTAATTACTGTTGTTGTGTAACTTCTGATGATGTTTACTTCCAAATTCATTGGAGTGAGGGTATATTTTGAAGTGATAGTGGTTTAACATTGGCCTGTAACGTAAATAATTTAAATATTTTTAATTATTACTGAATTTGAAAGAACGAGTATAGAAGACAAAATGTAATAAGGTAAAAATAAATAAAAATGGAATGTAAAATGTAAAAATGAACATACCTAGGATGAGCGTTCAAGTGTTGCTTTTCTTAAAAGGACTTCGCATGTTTTCCCTGACGTGTTCGACAGATATTCTTGATGCCCGTTGTACAACAAATTCACTTTCAATGATTTTAATGGCCTGACCGATGTTCTGCGCGTTGCCCTTCGAGTCAGCCGTATTTTCAACCTTTTGATAAATCTTCATACTTATTATTGCGATTCACTGCTAATAATTTATTTAAGGAACCACGTACCATAATTCAACTTTTACGCATGTCTTCAAACCGTTTAATAATTTTGATTCAAACATCAGGAAATGCATTTCTGTTGCCGACTGCAATTTTCGATTAATTAAATTTGTGTTAACTGACATTTTAATATTCTTGTACGAACCTTCATGTGTAAGGGTGTCTTGTCCTTCGACACATTTATGTTTTTATGATATTATGTTGGCAGGCCTGTTATCGTGAGTATTTATTTTGTTTGCGACGAAAATAAGGCGGTTCGTAGGCAGAGAAAACCAGTTAACACGAAATCGGTTTAATAAATCTGGAAAACGCGCTTTCATCGGCAAATGCCGTTGTTACAAATCGGAAGTCACGTGAAGCGACTGTTTCGCGACTCTTGCAACCGAACGGTTTCCTTGGAACTCTGCATCTGCTGTCTTCTGATCTGCACCCTGTGCAGTCTGATACAAGTTTGCCAGCGTTTCAGACGTCCTTGCTGTCTCCATCATCAGGACGATGAGAAGGCCGCGCGCGTGTAATCGGTTTGAAATTTTGGAACCAGTCAAGGCCGAAACCTTGGCCGGACCAATCGGGAGTGGTGTCCCCCGGGCGAGCCAATAGGAGAGCGGAGAGGCGCTACAGCGATCATGACGGCACAGTCTGAATTAAGCCAAAGCGACGTGCAGACGCACAAAAACGCGCGGCCTAATCAGAAAACGTCTTGAACCCCACAACGATTTTAAAACAATTTCAGTCCGTTTCCTTTGGAAGTGTTTTATAAATACACAGAAAGTAATTGACGTAGCGCTAATGGGCACATGCGGTGTCACGTAAATAAGCAATGAATCACAATGTGCAGTGGAGTTCGATAAATAATGAACGTAATGAAATGTGCTTCAAATGTGACATTAAGCTTCTTATTCTCGCGATGCTATTAACGAGGCACGCCACTTGGACCCGGTTGCTCGGAGTTTGGAATGCGGCATTATCAGTAAAAAGAAATCAGTGCTGTCACTTCTCGACACTTTAATGTAAGGAGCACGACTGAACGAAAGCCCTTGGCAGAATCTCAGCATGCAAAGGATAAAAAGTTCGAAGCTTGGAAGTTTCTGAAGGGGAACACTGGAATGATAATGCAGCCAGACAGGCCGCGAGTAATTTGAATACCTAAACTGTAGGTTGTCCCGCGCCGTAACCGCGCGGTCTGAGGCATCATGCTTCGGACCGGCGATACGGAATGCGCGCTGGTTCGAGTCTCGGGGGATAAGAAATTTTCTCATGAGCTTTCGACCAGTTTATGGGACCGGTGCCAACCCAGCATCGTGAGGAAATTGGGGAGCTACAATGAGTAGCGTAATCCGGTCAGGAAAGCTAGCAATGGCTGGGGGTTGGTCGTGATGACCACACGTCACCCTATATCAGGTTGGATGATCGTTCACCTCTGATTAGGAATGTGAACGTGAGGCCAGCAGTCAAGTTAGTCGGCTTTGGCTCTCTGGAGCTGTTACGCCACGGATTTAATTTTAATTTTTTTTAAACTGTAGGCTGGCTGTACGAAGTGAGAAGCTGACTTCGCTGAGGAGAGTCCTTGAGAACCTGGAAATTGGACGAGGGACCTCAGATGAAAGGACGCATGAGCGGGACAGACGACCAGTTCCAGATCCTGTTCATCTGCCCGGAGTTGAGAAAAAACAAACTTCAGACGTTGTTTATCTTAGATCCGTTTTAATATTATATTTCACTCACGTAGCAAAATGGTGGATGCAGTTCTCAGTTCCCCCGTGTCTCAAATTGACACGTTCTGAGTGTGTGTTAGACCCTTCTTCATCTGTTTATATCCAGACGTATTTCACTGTTCCCTCATCTGCATATTATAGTTTTGGATCTGTAGTTCTAATTCGTGTTTCAACAGTGAAAAATACGAGAATGCAAGTGTACAGTCGCAAATCATGCCATCAGCCCAGAGGCGCGAGCTTCGAACTGCGTCAGGGGCAGGAGGAAGGAAACAGCATGCTGTCAGATGTGTTTCCCGCCCGCGTGAAGGGAAAAGTGTTCCTTCTGAACAGTTTTCGCCCTGAGGCCTGTCTCTGCTTGTGCGTACTTGGCGGGTGTGCAGTAGCGGGACTCTGGCCACTGCGCGCGCGCGGCGTGGATGAAGCCACTGTCATGATGCCCACCGTCCGACTGCAAGCAACTGTAGTCCTGTCGTCTGTCACTTCAAGTTCTTCCGGAATATATCCGTCCGTACCACCCCATTTGCCCAATCGACGAGTCAAAGAAAACCATTTTGAAGCAAGTCCAACGGAAATCACCTGCATTGTGTACTTGTTTCGGTCAGAATTGGTATTGCATTAGTAATGTCGACACAAACCACTTTTTTAGGTTAGGAGAAGGCATTTGACATGTTTGCGCGAATCAAGTATTTTGTCTTTACAACTTTACTCGCGAATAAAACCTTTATGACAAGACAAGGACGCACTGTTGAACGCCATCTGCGAGATTAACTATCAAAGTTTCACCGAGTTCCCCATAGATGATAGCACCCATTGATTTCCACTTCTTTGCATGAAGGCACAGTCCGTGGAGTGGTTTATCGAAGCGAAATTGGACTTTTCGGAAGAACGCGTCGCAAAACGCCACCATCAAAACCTGGTACAAACGGCTTTTAGGGAGACCGGAAGTGGTTTGCACAAGAGAGGTACAGGGCGTTCACGTGTGTCTGATAGAAATGTCGAGAGGACGCGCAGGGATCTTTGTCCGCAGACCACGAAAGTCGACAAGAGCTGCAGCACGAGCAAAGTTGTAAACATAATTAATAAACACCCTGTATAGTGGCATTGTTTGGAAAATTATTCCCACGACACTTAATAAGGTCAGCACAATGGTCATATTGCCTAAAGATACTGAAATGATTAATTAGTTGCTAAAAGTTTACAGACGAAACTCTGAATTACATAACACGAGTAATGAATATATTATGATGATGATTTCAAGCTCTATCTGCTGTTGGCTGTAGGAACTATGAGCTACGCCAAAATCTGTTCAAGGAGTCTGCGTGTTGTGATCCTGCCTGATGATGATTCTTTGGGTTGTGAGGCAGCAAAGGGAGGGAAAGAACGAAGGAATCATTACGCAGATAAGACGTGAGCGTCGGAGAAATGAAACGGTTGCAGATAAATTTTAGGCGGAGCCAAGACGCGGTCGACGCTCGCGCACTGTAGCGACCGATGGAGGAAATGTCTTCAGATGTTCTAGCTGCAAGATAGTTTACTTACTCTTGGCGGGGGATAGTATCAGGATAGGAGCAAATAGCTGAATTCATTTTCTGCAAATAGTGGCCGGGAAATATTTATACAGCGGCCCCTTGAAAGTCGTGACGTAGAATGCTGAATACCACTCAAAGAGGATCCGAACGCAAGAAGACACCGGCTTGAAATACTTTGTTTGTACATCTGCAGTTATTTTCCGACGGATGTCCTCGTCAGAAGAAGAACAATGTCTCGAAAAAATCCAACATTAACTAATTTTCGAAATTCAACGAAATAAATTATTTTCCTGTAAGATTACTCAAATTTCTTCATAATTTGCAGAGAATAAGTCCGCAAAAGATTTAACCATAAAACTGACGATTGAGGCAGTAAAGAGTAATTGAACTCAAGCCTATCAGTTACACATCTTGAAAGTTAAGTTCGCTTTGTTTGGAACAAATCTGAAAGTCGTTTAGCACAGAAGCATCGTGAGTGTGAATATTTAATTATTTTCATCGAGTGATGTTTAACAGCAGCTCGTATTGAAAATTACGTAAAATTTATCCACACATAACACTTTTTTACGCACAAAATTATAGAATCATAAGTCAAATAAATGTATTCCTTTTAATTTCCCAGAAATATACCTTTCATGACTTGTGACATTTAACAAAAACAATAATTTTACCTGTTGTTTTGTATGGGTGCGAAACATGGTCTCTCACTCTCAGGGAGAAACATAGATTGCAGGTGTTTGAGAATAGGGTGTTGAGGAGGATATTTGGGCCTAGGAGAGAAGACGATAGGGTATAGAGAAATCTACATAATTATGAGCTTAAACATTTGTATTCCTCCCCCAGCATTGTCGGGGCGATTAAGTCGAGAAGAATGAGATGGGCGGGGCATGTAGAATGCATGGATGGGACAAGATGTATGCACCGGGTATCGGTTGAGAAACCTGAGGGGAAGAGACCGCTGGGGAGACCTAGACGTAGATGGGAGGATAATGTCAGGCGGGATCTATGGGAGATGGGAGTCGAAGGAAACTGGATTTTGTTGGCCCATGACAGGGTCCGGTGGAGGGCTTTGGTTAATCCGGTGATGAACCTTCGGGTTCCCTAAGCCATCTAGTTGGTTGGGTCCACTATTTGGGAAGCCTGAGGGGAAGAGACCGCTGGGGAGACCTAGACGTAGATGGGAGGATAATCTCAGGCGGGATCTATGGGAGATAGGAGTTGAAGGAGACTGGATTTTGTTGGCCCAGGACAGGGTCCGGTGGAGGGCTTTGGTTAATTCGGTGATGAACCTCCGGGTTCGGTAAGCCATCTGGTTGGTTGGGTCCACTATTTGGGAAGCCTGAGGGGAAGAGATCGCTGGGGAGACCTAGACGTAGATGGGAGGATAATGTCAGGCGGGATCTATGGGAGATGGGAGTTGAAGGAGACTGGATTTTGTTGGCCCAGGACAGGGTCCGGTGGAGGGCTTTGGTTAATTCGGTGATGAACCTCCGGGTTCGGTAAGCCATCTGGTTGGTTGGGTCCACTATTTGGGAAGCCTGAGGGGAAGAGATCGCTGGGGAGACCTAGACGTAGATGGGAGGATAATGTCAGGCGGGATCTATGGGAGATGGGAGTTGAAGGAGACTGGATTTTGTTGGCCCAGGACAGGGTCCGGTGGAGGGCTTTGGTTAATTCGGTGATGAACCTTCAGGTTCCCTAAGGCAGCTACTTTGTTAGTTCGTGACCTTTGGCAACGAAAAAGTAATTCATTTGCTTTTGTCAGACTGAAGGTGTGGGTGTGTGTGGTTTATTAACGCTCGAACATACTAAGTGCAGATCTGTCATGCGCTGAGCTAAATAAAGGCAATCACGCCAACGATTCTGTGACACCAACAGTTTGGAATGCAGCAGTTGCTAGTTGCTGTGCTGTCGGGCGGCAAGGTGTGGGGGTACTCGTTTATGCGCTGTATGGCAATGAACGGACATTTGCATAAATGGCTGAGGCCCTGTCTGAGCCGCGTAGGGGCGGCGTCTTCACTCGTACTGCTGGAACATTCCGCAAAATACTCTGCGAATTGCTAACATGAAGGACGAAAATAAACAAAATCGATATGAATTAAATATACCTGTTTCAAGTTTCCTGAAAACAACGAGATTGAGTGTCTTTGAAGAAATGTACGTGGACTTCGGATGGAGAAGTGACAAAGGAAGATAGAAAATGCATCGTGTGGAAGGAATCCATAATTGTGCTGACGAACATTCGTTTAGGTGGCGTAAAAATTGTAAATTCCTTTTATAGCAGTCGGGGCGAATCTGTGCGTTGTTGGTCCATCAGAAGTAAGTGGCAAGAGGATCGAAGGATACGCGCACGTAAGTCACATGTCTCATGTCTGGACTAAAGGTACAATTTGGCTGCACGCGACAGAGACAAGCGACCGAGGCAGGCGACAGAGACGGGAGACGGACACATCGCAGATTGTCGCCACACACTTTGGAGGTGACGACCGAGACATGCGGCAAAGTGTTTGTTTTCTTTGTTTTGTTGAGACATACGTGCACATATTCTGTGAAAAATGAGTACAAAAATGCTTCTAAAAAGGTTACTCGAAGAAGATGATGTGTTGCTGTGTTATTTGTTGCGAAAGAAACAAAGAAAACCTACGAGTTCAATATTCAAAACCAGACGTGAAGAAGGATCTTTCTGTCTGTTAATAAAGAATCATTTATCATTTTCTGCTACTAATTCTACCAATTGCTCATCAGTAAATTTAATTTCTGCCATTATTTTACTCAACAACACACGTGCTGCCTGAGCCCGTCGCGAGACACTACTGGTCCGAGAGCGGTCTCCTGTGCTTTGTCTCTGTCGCCTGTCTCTGTCTCGCGCTCGTAATTGTACTTCATACGATTGTACAGAGAGCAGACAGGAAGCGACCAGTCTCGGTCTCGTAACTCTGTCGCCTGCCTCGGTCGCTTGTCTCTGTCGCGTGCAGCCAAATTGTACCTTAAGGCGGATCGCAGTCGGCCCACAACGCCGTTTGAACTTGGCAACGCCTGAGCAGTTTCACACCTGTGCGAGGTTTCTGTTCTGCGTTGCAAGACACGACGAGGCAAATACTAAACCTCCTTTGCCGTAGTGACGAGGAACGTCTCAAGCCGTGAGTGCCGGGAGGGAAGCACGAGCGAATCTGTTCGAAGTCTGGGAAACCACTCCACTGACTCCAGGCGTGTACTTTTGTGAAAAGAAACGAATAAAAGTTTTTGTCGACGTGTTAAATGCTTGAATGTTGTTCTTTCAATCCGTGCGTAAGCAGCGCGTCTTTAAGACGTAGAATTTATTTCCCAAGCAGCTCGTAATCCATACGAAATACGGCCGAAAAGGGTATGAAATATATAGTGAAGGAATTTTATTGACAGAACAGAATTGATGGACCAAAAGAAATCCTCAGTTAAGTTATGTCTCGTGTGCATCAAATTTTGCCAAAGACTCGCCAAAACGGCTACGGAAACCTATGAAATGCTAAAGCAAGCATTTGGGGAGTCCTCAATGGGTCGTGCACAAACTTTTGTGTGGCATTCACGTTTTAAAAATGGCCGAACCTCTGTCGATGATGATGAGCGTTCTGGACGACCATCTTCGAGCACAACGCCCGAAACTGTTACGAAGATCGACGTCGTACCATCAACGACTTGTGCGACATTTTTGGGATAGGCTATGGGACCTGTCAGCTGATTCTAAAGGAAGAACTCCACATGCGACGCATCCTGTCAGAGGACTAGAAGCAGAATCGACTTCTCGTTTGTCAGGAGCTTAAAGATCTTGCAAGAACCGACCCCACCTTCCTTTCTAAGCTCCGTGTGACTTCTTCCTCTTCCCAAAGATGAAAATTCAGCTAAAGGGAAGGAGATTTGAGACGATAGAAGAGATTCAGGCAGAATCGTAGATGGTGCTTGACAGGCTGACAAAGAAAGATTTCCAGGGATGCTTCCAGGCTTGGCAGCGGCGCTGGGATCGGTGTGTTCACTCCCAGGGGAACTACATCGAGGGTGATGGATGAATTTAATACCTGAGATAAGTGTACGGGTTTTTATAGGCGCAGTCTTGAAACTTTCCGATCGCACCTCGTATAGGCGACTAATTATGTTTTTATTCGTAACAAACTGCAGCCTTTCACAGAGTGATGTTGAAGCAGCGGAGTCTGTTTAAGTCGATTGAATCCTCTCGGAAATCCTGGGATTGTTACAGATGTCTTGTTTCGAAAATTAGATTCGGGTGTATTCGGGATGTTCAAGCAAGGGCGACTCGTCCATCCTCTCGGCATTTATCATGTTTGGATAATGGTGTTGTATGTGTACTTTGAGTTTGTTGCTTCATGAATTTTAATTTAATTTGTGGTGTATGAAGCTGTCAATTCATCTGGTGTGGGTACACTGTATGAAATATATGTAACGAAGAGATATGTGCTTTTATGGATGACTGTAGTTTCTGTTAAAAAAAATTTATTACCAACATTCCCAGACCTTTTTTTTACAAAGTTTATTTTGTGGAATTTGATGTATATATTTTGTCAGGTCTCTGCTGTGAGTAAAGCTGTCCAAATTTGTTTTAAGACGTATTGTATGTACAGACAATACGAGAAAAGATTGATTGTACTTTCCAGATTTATTTACATAATACTACAGAATTTCTGTGGGCTTCTGGTATTATTTTTATTTGTTTGTGAATTTTTTAAGGTTCATTTGATTTCGCCTTAGTGATAATACAGTAGGCGACTCATGATTATAATTAATTCACTTAGGAACAGTAATTGCGATTAAGTTGAATTTTCCCCACCCGTTAGAGACAGGGTACGTCAGAGAACGGATGACACGGAGAGCAAGTCTGACCGAGACCGAGTCCGGTAGACACCGGGTCTGGCAGGGAACGGGTGGGGAGAAATTTGAAAAAATAAAAAAAAAATCCTGGAAATTGTCTAAAAAGCGCACAAAACCAAAAATTTTCGAATTCTTTCAAAAATTTCTTGTAGTTGAAGTTTTTCGATTTTTTAGTTTTGTGTGCTTTTTGTACAATTTCCAGTATTTTTTGACTTTTATAAAATTTTTATTTTTTTTTCAAAATTTTCCCCACCCGTTCCCTGCCACACCCAGTGCCTGCCGGACCCGGTCGCTACCGGACTCGGTCACTGACGGGAAGTGTTTGCAGGGGACTGGTCCGGTAGAGACCGAGTCCGGGAGAGACCGGGTGAGGCAGAGTCCGATTCCAGCACAGACTGGGTGTGTCAGTGACCGGTTCTGGTAAGGATCGTATTGTGAAAATTTGATAAAAAGATTGAAAATTTTCAAAAAATGAAAAAAAATACTGGAAATTTTCTAAGGCGCACAAAACCAAAAATTCTCGAAAATTTTCAATTTTTTTTTTGAAGTTGAAAATTTTCAATTTTTTTAGTTTTGTGCAATTTTTGGGGAATTTGAAGCATTTTTCAATTTTTGAAAATTTTGAATTTTTTTTCTTCAAAATTCTCCTTACCCGTGCCAGACCCGCTGCAGTTCGTCTCGCTAGCCGTGCAGTACAGGGAATACTCTGGCGCTGGAAATCTGTGTCCGCTGCATCTCTTGACAATGGCAGAAACGTTAGCTTAAATTGTAATCATTGAAGTGAAAAGCGAGCATTTTCTTCGGGATATGGAACACACTTGTGGACAGTGAATGGAGCAAGATCGCAAAAAATGTATGAAAAACAAGTTCGCACATTTTTCAAATTTTATTTTTTTGTACAAACTGATTGCATTAGAAATAATAAAATATTGCAGTTTCCACTGTTCAGTGACGAAGCCGAATTACTCTCCGACAGGAGATCACGTTTGCCTGACTACGCTATCGTAGATACTGATGTTGTTGAACGCCGCTTTGTCGCCACTTACGCTCTCCCACGCAGGACAAAACAAAAGATTCTCTCGCTAAGCATGACCGCCCTCCCGCCGCTCGTTTGTAATCGTTTACGTAAGACATTGCCAAAGACCCTGCGCGCACGAGAGGTTTGGGCCGCATTGATGGAACGAACTGTTTTAGTAGGAAGCGAGCGCATGTGCGGAAGTTTCACCGCTACGGTTTTCCTGCAACATTCTTCATTTTCGTTAGATAAAAACCACAGCTGAAAAAATATTTTCTTTGTAGTTCAACCATGGAGAGAATCCATGATATGTAACAGCAGCGTTCGTATTCTGTGACTGTCACGGATTATAAATGCATGAAGAGCAAACTTTGTTCATCTATGATAGCGTTCTTGTTATGTCTAACCGGATGTGCTAGAGAGCGTGTCGGGCAAAGAATGTATTCCATAGACAAACTGTGTACGTTGCTGTAGACCCCTTTCCGGTAAAGTTGTTTTTGTGTATGAGGTAAAGAACAAGTATGTAATGGTATTTAATGTATCGTGAAAGTGTATGTGTTACTGTTTAGTGTTTATTTTGCATGTTCCATTGCTGAGTTCGTGTAGTTTAATTATTGTCAGGCTGAGTTTCAGAATATAAGAAAGTGCAAATTATGGAAGCGTACCTCTATTTGTACACGTGTTTTGTCGTAGTAGTTGTTACAGAAGAACATTTAATGACCTGATTGCCGTATTTGTGTTGTAGGCTAAACAGTACTCATGGCGGAAGTGGAGGTATTTGAGGAAGAGGTTTTACCAGCTGAATCTGAGGCTATGTTGGCTGTAGCACAGCCTGCAGAGTTACCAGAAATTAAGTTGTTTGGCCGTTGGAGCTGTGATGATGTTCAGGTGTCAGATATGTCCCTTCAGGTTGGTTTGTTCTCTTTTGAATTTTATGCCATGCACAGATATAAGAAATTAAACTTAGGGAATGCTTGCTACCGTTCATTTCAGAATATGGTCTTTGCATGTCGGATTGAAATAAGTGAAGATAAAAATATCCAAACAGTAGTACCTGCTGTTTTCTGTTCTGATCTCGGATATGGAAGGGAGATTGAGCATGTTTGAGAGCAGGATGCTGAGGAGAATATTTGGACATGTTGAAATGGGTTTTACATATAATGGATGAAAGGCTGTGGAATTGATTGATCTAGCTGAGAATAGGGATTAGTGGCAAATGCTTGTAAACAATGTCATGAGCCATTGGAGTCCATAAAAGGTTGGAAATTTTACTGGCTAAGTGACTGAACTTTTGGAGGACTCTTCTGCATTGAATCACAAATGCCATGTTTGGCTTTGTTATGTTTCTAGGTAAACTGAAGTAATTTCATCATGAGAGAGAGTGTGTTCATATTTTTCAGTCAGCCAAGGCCATTTAATGTTTAATCATTATTGCAACCATGCCTAACCAGCCATTATTTTACATTGTCATGAACGAATAGAAATTGATGTATATTGCAGTAGTAATGATTGACGGGAAGAAGTGAGTATGAAATGCATTTTTTATTTTGTGTTTTAATGTTACAGTTGTTACAATAGAAGCAGTAACATTGTTTCTAAAACATAGAATTAACAGTGTCTTACAGGTTTCTTCTGTCAGCTGCTGCTGACACCTGATGTGCTATTGTGTTGTTGCTAGAGAGCAGAGTGCTGATTATGTATATGTTTGTTACTGGTATTGGATTTTTGCAGGACTACATTGCAGTCAAGGAAAAAAATGCTAAGTACCTGCCACATTCTGCAGGCCGATACGCAGCCAAACGGTTCCGTAAGGCACAGTGTCCCATTGTTGAACGACTCACAAATTCATTGATGATGCATGGTCGCAACAACGGAAAGAAACTTATGGCTGTCCGTATTGTGAAACATGCTTTTGAAATCATTCACTTACTGACAGGGGAGGTGAGTGAGTATATTTGTCACTGTTAACATAATATTATCTTATTCCATGAGATGAGAAGTTCGTCTGTTGGATTTTGTGAAGGTCAGATGGTAGTGGCTTTAACATATCAAAGAAGACTATATTTTGTGTTTAATTCATTGTTGTTAATAATGATTTTACAGAAATTTCAAGAGAAAATCTCATTCAAGAAGTTAGAAATAACTGTATGTGATTTCTAATGCAATAGTATTACAATTAAATTATTTCAGCGTAGGTACAATGCCGGTATGGGATTTTAGGTTCTTGGTAGTGAAAATGTCATTGTTGGTCCTCTGGGTAGTAATGAATCATCGACTTGTCAGTAGATACCAGTGTATGTTTCACAGGAACATACTGTTTTCATATTTAGAGCTGTCATTTTAACTGTGAAGATGGGGGCAGCATTTTCCTCTTAAATCTTAATATCTACCTACACAACGTTACTATTCAGAAGAACAACACTTACGAGTGCCGTGTGTGATCCAAATCTTGGTCATTGCCCTCTTTAATCGACACCTCTTTCTGTTGCTTTCAGGTAAGTGTTAATAAATTATCCTGAAGTGTGTCTCAATTGCCGCCTCTCATGTCCTTTAAAATTCACTGCATCTCAGGACCCTGTCATCTCACTTGATACTGAACAAGAACAGTAGATACAGTTTTATAATTTTTGAAGTTTACAGTTTTATGTTGCCCATGTAACATTCAGTGGCATGTGATTGTATCACATTTTTATCGATGAGATCTTTCGGTGATATCGGCAGGTACAGAGATGGAGCTGAAGGATCGACAAACTCAGACATTTGGTGCCTTTTGCTGTTTTTCAGAATCCATTGCAAGTTTTGGTGACTGCTATTATCAACTCTGGTCCTAGAGAAGACTCGACCCGTATTGGTCGTGCGGGTACTGTCAGGAGACAAGCTGTGGATGTGTCACCACTAAGGCGCGTTAATCAGGTCAGCGTCATGCCATCAGACGTCATTCTTACCGAGATAAGAACCAGGAATATGTTTATGTCTTTAAAAATATCAGTATGGTTTGCCACATGTAGATTTTGGGTTGTGGTTTGTTTTCTTATGTTCCGCTTTCCACGGATTAATTCGTTCGTTCATTCAGAGCTATAAAAATGACTTGTGATGTAAGTACAAACCTTGGTCTCATGCAAGTGAAAATTATGAATGAAAGATATTTGGAGACACGTTTGTAATGGGGAAATGTTTTGTACCTAATAGGGTTGAACTTTGAATTGGGGGCTAATAAATAAATGATTTATAATCCTAACTTAAGATTCTTGGAGTTTGTCTTCTATACTCGTTCTTTCAAGTTCAGTAATATTTAAAAATATTTTTAAATTATTTACGTTGCAGGGCAATGTTAAACCACTATCACTTCAAAATATACCCTCACTCCAATGAATTTGGATGTAAACATCATCAGAAGTTACACAACAACAGTAATTAAGTTTTAGTTTATAAGATTATAATTTTTAACTTTTAACTTTACACCTGAAGATGGTTCAATGTAACCGAAACATGTAGTAAAAAGATGTACCAAATATGTAAATGATATTTTAATATCTTATGTATAATTTTATTTATATACAATTGTGATTAGACGGAAAAAAACACGAATAATTAAATTTTAATTCACAATATGACGCAATTATATCAACTTATTCTTGGAGTAATTAATTGGAAATTATATGAATGGGCTTACTATAGAGAATAGACATGTGAATTGAATACATTGGTGTGTAAGATAAATCAGTACTTGGTGGATGACGTAAGTGTTATAAAGATGGCTTCTGAGGATATCAACAGCATTCGCCTAACGCAGGTTAATGCGACGGGATAGTCTTTCTGTGTCAGTGTGGAGTTGAGAGTTTGTTAGCCCCGAAGAGACAGAAGAGAGGAGAAACAACTCAGAAGACTTGGGTTTACATGGAAGGATGATATTAAAGTAGGTATTTGGGAAATAGGGTGTGGATAGGATTGATACGGATTGCTGAATGACTCCGATGAAGAGGGTGTTTAACCTTTGGGCTCCATAAAATGTGGGGAGTTTCTCGGTCACACAAGTGACTGTCAGTTCCTCAAGAGTTGTTGTGTTCCGTGTACTTTAATTAGTTTTTAGGTAGCTAGGTATGATTTTGTTAGCCAAGGATTTTGGACAGAGCTTAAGAAAGATGATCAGGGAGTTAAAAGTGGAATTTTTTCCATTCAGGCTATCTGGTTGCTGTGCACTGGTGCGCGAGAAGCAGCTTTCAGGAACATCAAGACAATTGCTGAATGTGTGGCAGATGAGCTCATCAATGCTGCTAAGGTTGGTGCCTTTTCTTGTGTTTCCCCGAACTGTTGTCATGATGTGTTATGTCCTGCTGCTGTATTTAGTCTTATATGGTTACAGATACATTAAAGCAACATATTTTTGCCAATTATGTGGTTACTTTCATGGCTTTTTGGAACTGAAGGAAAACTTACTTTAGATGTGGTTTTGTTTTGTAAAGTATACCAGTTACTTAATTACAAAGTATGTTATCCCTTGAAAGGGTTCTTGTCAAGACTGACATCTTTAATAAGATGTCTAGAATCCCTGAGATACATTGGGTCTGGTATTATGCAGATCATTTCTTTGCTGATTTTTTGGGCTAGTGGAGAACACATTTCCATCCACATATTTCAGGGATCTTCCTCTTTGTTCTGCATCTAATACAACTTGCTAGGATTGTTATTATTCTCAGATTTATGTAAATTAGCCTTTATTAAACTGCAGTGCAAATTTCACTTTTGTTCTGTCATACCTTTGGTCACTATGTTCTTTGTCGTGAACCCATTCACCGAAAACAAGATGCTCCGTGATGGTGATATGTGAGAACATGTTAAAACGTAAGAAAAATTTATTTTTGTGTAAAATACGTCTGTAGTAGCACACTTGTCAAATGAAATATGCTGAAAACCTGGTAATCCCAGCCATGGCATGTCACATGACACCAAACACAGTATATGTACTTCCGTCATAGGTAATATCTTTCTTTTTTTATTTTTCATTTGACGAATTTTTATTAAACCTTAGATATCATTGATCATGAGACTTACGGTTATCTCTGTAGAAAAGGATAATATTAAACGGAGCATATATACTCCATATCAAAACTGCATTATTTTGATTTTCTATATGGAATATGTTTCTCTTGCAGGGTTCATCAAATTCATATGCAATCAAGAAGAAGGATGAGCTGGAACGTGTTGCAAAATCGAACCGTTAACAACTTGTGCATTATGTTGCAATTAATGTGTCAATAAACTATCGTGGTTACACAGACCTTGCTTATTACTTCGTTCAAATGGTAATTGCTCTACTCCTATGAATGTTTTAGATTTTAGAAGTGCTACAGTATTTTGAAAGCTCTCCACTTCCGTTCTTACAATTTAATTTTGAGTCCCATGTGACAGACCCCTCTCCTGTGCAGTTAATGCAAATACAAATATATTCTGCGTATTTTGGGATTTAGTCCATTAAATGTTTGTACACAAGCTGTTCGGTTATCAGGAAAAAATGTGAAACTCTGTGCAGTCAGTCCACAATATAGTTACGTAGTTTGTATGTTTAATCTTCGTTAAAATTCAGGTCAGCTTCAGCGCTAGTAATACCATACTTGTCACTGACCCGAGTCCCAGCCTTAAACTCTGTTTCTCCTAGATCCATTCCTTCTGTCTTCCAGTAAGCTATTTTGTAAGATTTTCGCATCAAAAGTATGGATTTTCTCAATGAAATCTTCTCGGGCAATCAGCCACGTTAACTGGTTACTACGGTAACCAGTTAACGCGGCTGATTGCCCGAGAAGATTTTATTGATTGTGCTCGCCGCGAAAGTCTCAAAACCTATATGGATTTCCTGTTTTCTCATAAGCAATATGTCTGGTCTGTTGTAAGTACATTGGTTAGCTGCCTGAAGAACCTAACTTACAGAATCCTGTATTATGAAATACGAGGGGCAGTAAAAAAGTTTCCGGAGTTGTGGTATAGCACTGTAATGGTAGGACATATGGCAACGCTTACCTAATGACGTTCAAAGTAGGACCCTTGCGCGCACACTTGCTCCGTCGATCCTGTCATTGTTGGAAGCACCGGCAGAAGGCTTCGTTTGGAATCTTCCAGAGTTTGGCCGTCGCATTCGATTTGATGTCCTCCATGGTTGCGAAACGCGTTTCCTTGAGGCCCATTTTCAGAGTAGGGAACAGCCAGAAGTCACTCGGAGCGAGATCCGGAGAGTACGGTGGTTGGGTTCTGACGGGAATGCTTTTCTTGGTGAGGAATTGCTGCACAACCAGCGAGGTGTCGAATGCGACAGCCGAACTCCGGAAGATTCCAAACAAAGCCTTCTGCCGGTGCTTCCAACAATGACAGGATCGATGGAGCAAGTGTGTGTGTGTGCACAAGGGTCCTACTTTGAACGTCATTAGGTAAGCGTTGCCATATGTCCTACCATTACAGTGCTATACCACAATTCTGGGAACTTTTTGACCGCCTCGTACATGACGTTTTCCACTTTATTGTTCCTTTGCAGTATTATTCTCCATAACACTTGCTTTTCAATTGGAAGAATAGGCGAATGAAATTGCTTAAATAACAAGGGGAAAAGTTTCTTTGTAAACGCTGCTACTTTGATATAATAATGAAAGTTGGTGCTTCAGTCCCTATCCCTGTAATTTTTAGTGGTCATCACCCACACGCATACCAACTGTATGTGTTGTGTGTGCTGGTGAATCCCATTCCTCGAGCAAGTGGGGTGTGTTCTGAAAATGTTACTTGTGACCTAACAAATGACTGTTCCACTGGTTTTTATCACGGACCAGTACTATTTTAATTTAGTGAGTAATAGCAGAAGTTGGTGCATGCTGTTTTATCAGTCGCCGCTTCTCTCTCGTTTTAACAGTCGTACGCTACGCTCTACTTATACTGGCATTTCTGCAACTGGCGGACAAAGTGAGACTACGCGCTATGTGATCAGTAGTTACAAAGTCACTACAACCGAGGTTCTTCGGGTGTTTGGAACTTAAAACTTTTTTAAAATCTGACTGGTATGTGACATTAAATGCCAAACATGTTGCAGGACATTTTCACTTCCTTCTGCCACCAGTACGGAACACATCCATTGACCATTTTGTAGTTGTTCATATCTCCTAGAGATGTCACTCAAATGCAGTCAGACTTTCACAGATAATGATGAAACTTTGATGTATTGATTTATATATATTTACAAGCAATATTCTCTTACAAAACAACTTCCTGTTGCTTTGTAAACATGTGGTTGCCTCTTGTGTGTAAAGATGACTGATGCGAAGTGTGGAAAAGCTGAGTTTTAATTTGAAGTGATTAGATATACAAGATAATCACACCATAATTCAGTATTAAAGGTAATCTGAAAATTTATGGAATTATTTCAAATAATTTATAAGATTTAGGTTTATTCTGCCGATGTTAAACCAACCCCACACAGAAGAATGGCTGACTGACCGTTTAAATCTCCACTGGGCAGTGAACGTGTTGGGAGAAAATGAATTTGAAAATTTCAATGCTGCTCATAAATGAAGACTTCATTTTATCTTAAAATTCAGGTGTGACTTGCTTACATATGTGTAATCCTTATATTCATGTAAATATACGGTTCCCAACAAGGTCGGGGCTTTTTCTGTTTCCCACCATGTCCAGGCCTGATGTGTAGTCCAGTGGTCCCCAACCTTTTTGTGCCTACGGGCACATTTGAGAGTTTATGAGATCGTGGCGGGCACCAACCAATTAACAAAGCCAAATTTTCCTTTCTCTGGACAAATAAGATATGGACACCAAATAATACACAAAACAACACTACATTTAATGATACAAGAAACCATGCAATCAAAAATACGTACTTTCAAAAGTACAATAATTATTACTCATGTGGGAAGTTAGTGTGATGTTTGGCGCTGCATTTCATCGGCCAGTTTTTCAAATTTAGGAGTGTAGGATGATGTTGCTACTCACATACAATCATCAAGATTGGCGTCAGTAAGTCGAGATCTGTCCTTTGATTTTATGATGTTCGTGGTTGAACCGCCTTCATTATTCAGTATAACCTCTTTCCGTATCAACGCGGGCACCCAAGAAAAGGCTTGGCGTGCGCCGCGTTGGGGACCACTGGTGTAGTCTATCCATCGTGTTGTCTAACAATTATTGAACCCAGAATATGAAGCCAGTCACCTTTGTATAGTACAGAGGTCATGAATGTGCAGTCCATCCCCATAAATATTTGTGACATGGTTAATCATTCACACAGGTCACTTCACCTTACGAATCAATTTTATGCTTCAAATAACACGTTTTTAATACTGTATTTACATGTTTGTCGCACAGTTTATTTTTATAAATTGTGTCTTTCGCTTTTTGTTATGGAAACCCAGATCAACAACAAAAAGAAATAACTTGAAATAATTACAGTTGACATGAAGAAACCGTAATGTTTCATTACAGACAAGAGAAATTTCAATCTGAGTGAGAATTTTATTTAAAGTTGGTATATCAGAACCTGTCTCATGGAAACAAATATGCATGAGTGCTGAATCTCAAAAGAGGAACATTCTTCGAGATCAAAATATTCGTAATGAATTACATAGGTGAAGTTAAATACAGTAAATATAAATGTTTTACCCTAAAGTGTAGTTTAAACCTGTGAAATAAGTTTCTGAGATTTCAGTGACGGTAGGCAAGAATCAGGACCATATCTACAATAACAACATGCTAGCATGAGTTAAAAGAAAAGTTGTTTACGTGCATGGTAATGTACATCATTAATTTGTAATGTTTCTTTTTAGATTAATTGTTTTATTTGGATCATTGTCTTACAGTGGTGTGTAAAAAATAAATAGGTTCATTCGAATTAAGAAGACTGGGAGCCATGAATATTGTGTTTCGGTGAATGTGTAGGCCTGAGAAGACGTTCTCTGTTAATGGGTACAAATGAGAGGAAGCCATGAATCACGTAGTGTCACGGAAGTTGCCTCGTTTCAGGACAGAGAGGGAGAACTGTTTTGCTGTTTAAACTTTAGTACAGTGAAGTGCGTTAATGTTTGGGCTTGTCCGGGTAAACATTTATTTTAACTTCAGTGTCAAATGACGTTAGTCAGCCTTTCGAGGGGGCAGATATTTGTGCCATTTTCGTTCGGAAATTTGAGATTCATATTTTACAATTGCATCATAATCCCACAAACCTCATTTTAGGTTGGCAATTCCTAATTTTAGTTCCGCATTAACCCGATCGGTACCGAGTTCGTCTTATCCGAGTGAATTATGACTGAAGAAGTGAGTGATAATGACAGTGAAAGTGGTGAAATTGATACTTCACCGTATGCCTATGATGAACTGGGAATATTCCACTCCTGTAGTACAGGTAAGAACTGCAAATGGTTCGTTTTGATAACACTAAAATTGAGGTTATTTTTACAGCCTTAGCATGAATGTTATAGTAATATACTAAATATCGTAATTGTCAGTACTATTCTTTTAGGTTAGTCTGCAATTTCTGGTTTATTGGTACCCCATTTCAGGTTCAAACACACGCAAGCACGCACACGCGTTCTGGAAACGTTTCCTGAATTGAATTTGTGTGCAGGATTTCATGTGTTAAATGAGGCCTAGTATGTGCATGCTTCAGACAGCTCGTGGTACACATTGTGCACCATATTAGCATGAAGCAGTGGTTGATTCCTGCCGTGAATAAGTTTTGGTGTGTGGTTTGTGAATAAAAGATTATTTAATTTGCATAAATTTTTAACCCTTTGACTATAAAACACCTCACAACTGAGCCCTGTTAGAGAAGTTGTTTTAATTTCACGCGAATGACATTGAATATTTTTTGGAACGCGTGAGGGATCGATTACTGATTATACTGTAAGAGAAGTTGTCGCAGTGAGATTATGAAATTGCACAGTTTATAAACGGAAACTGTTAATTATTTAGTTTTCGGTAACAGGGTTGAAAGTTAAAGTTAATGTGTGTTTGATTTATAACCTTCTTAAATAGCACCATAGAATTAAAAATATGAAAGAAATTCGGCAATATATTCGTTCAATAAAAACTACGCTCACAGATTTGTTTCTTCCTACAGTTTTCTATATTTATCTCCTGACTTACTGATAAATAAAAAATTAAGTAAATATTGTTTACTTAGTCCCACAAAAAGAATATGTCAGCATCTGGGCTACGGAAATGTACAGTATTTTCTGTTTCA